TGTGCTATAAATACATTTGCCATCTCCCAGGAGCTTGACGCGAGCCATTTGTCAGCGGAAAAGTCACATGGGCTTCCTGTTGTCGCACTTCATCCTCCCCCCTTTTGTCAAAGCGATAATTCCTTCTTGTTTGAGACTGTAGCTCGGCATTCGCCAGGTGTAGGGTATTTCTGCAATAAACATTGGTACTGACAGCTGCTGCGCCAGGTTTCTAATTTCCAGCCAAGCTGGCTTGGGGTATAAGATGCCAGATGAAATTAAGCATCTTTTTCTGATGATGAGGCTCTGCATCACCATCGCAATGCCCCCTCCGCAATGACCTATCTCAGGAAGGGTAATATTGGAGGCTGCTTTCGCTCCAAGGAATTAGCACGAGAAAAGAGCAAGCCAACACATCTATTGACTGGCGAGGACGTGTTGGCTTGATTGGTAGAAGTGCGATGCAACATCGCTGTCAAAAAGCAGCGTAGCCCGTGATTAAAGAGTGGCCGCAAGAGGATTAACCATATGTGATTTATTTAATAGAGAAGCCACTGTTGTTTTCTAGGGGACACAGTTAGATCTGTCCCTGACTACTTCTGACATAATTTCAATTTACTACACCCGTCCACTTTCCATCCCTGTTGGAAGGAACAGCAACAATAATAATTACGTACAACATTTGTATTTCATCATTCCTGTGAGGATCTCGGGATGGTGTACATAGGATTGCTCCATTCCATTTTCACGACTATCCTGCCTTGTAGCTTAAACTTGAGAGGTGGGGCCTGGCTCAAGGTCAGCTAGTGAGCTTCATGCAGAGTAAGGATTTGATCCCTCTTTGATTCACTGTTCACTATACCAGACTGGCTTTCCAGAAGGATCTGTTGGACGTTGTAGGATTAGGTCTGGTAAATCACATGATCTAGGTATCTGCTAGCCACATTTTTTTTTTACTTATACAGCTGTCCTTACAATAGTTTACTCATACAGTTGTACCTCAGGTTACATACGCTTCAGGTTACAGACTCCGCTAACCCAGAAATAGTACCTTGGGTTAAGAACTTTGCTTCAGGATGAGAATGGAAATCGTGCTCCGGTGGCGCGGCGGCAGTGGGAGGCCCCATTAGCTAAAGTGGTGCTTCAGGTTAAGAACAGTTTCAGGTTAAGAACGGACCTCCAGAACGAATTAAGTACTTAACCCGAGGTACCACTGTACATCCACACAGAAATGCTATGGAGTACAGTCTAAATCTAAATCTTTTCCTCATATGGAAGTTGCTCCAGCGCCTTGATCATTTTATTTGCCTTTCTCTCCATCGTTTCTAGTTCCACAATATCATTTTTGAGAGGCATCCACCAGAAATATACACAGTACTCCAAGTATAGCTGCACTATAGATCTGCATGAGGGCACTGCAATATTAACGGGACATAAAAAGGCTTGTCTTGGCTGGATCCTGCAATCACTGTTCACCTTAGAGCTTTTCCTCTGAGCATGAGACAATCCAACCCCATTTCCTGCATTGTTCTTCTCTGGAATAGACACCCCCCCGAACCAGCTTTTCTGCCATATTTGGAGCACAAGAGGGCACCCTCTCACCTTCGCTATCTTTCTATCATTGAAAACCCAAACACGAGCTCATTGTTTAAGGAATATTGCTTCCCGTTTTGAACCAAATATCACTGACGTGGGTTTTGCATTAGATCATGCTTGAATTTCCAGTGCCTTGGGCTTAAGCTACTGCACATGTGGCCGAGTTATGTGAACATCTGGATATTTATGAGATTGGCAGGCAGTCTATTCTACTATTAACACCTGCATAATATATTCAGTTCTGGAGCTTTGGTAAAATGTTTATGCTTGACACAATTGCCACTAACCCCTAATGCTTCTGACATTGAAGGCTGCAGATGGTGTCCTCTAACGCTCGCCAGGCTGAAACCTGCTCCCTAGAACTCCATTTATCTGCGGAGACAAAACGCTTGCTGTTTGCCCTACATTTTGCTTGATGTCACGTTCCGAATCACTTCGTTTTGTTAGCCTGCGTGTCATTGTTCGAAAGGAACCTGGAATAAATCCAAGCAGTTTTTATGCCACCCAATTTCCTGCTCCTGGTATTTTAGCTTTTTTATTATTTAAAAAAAGGGCCAAATTCTTATGGTCACAGGACTTAGCAAACAATAGTGAATGACTGGTTTGTGTACAGCCTCTAGTACACCACAAGCCTTAAAACCTGAGTTGCTAGGCTTCTGGGGATTAAGATACTTGTGTGTGAAGCATTCATTGGTCAGGGACTGTAGCAACGCAATGTGTTTCAGCTTTCTCCTTGAGTACGTCTGATTGAGTTGGCTTGTACCTTGCAAAGGCACAATTTCAGTTACATATCTTAAAAGCAAACTTTTCCTGTTACGAAGATTGTCCCTCTCCAGGCTATTGGTTGAGCTGCTCTGACATCATGGAATGTGTGTATGTGCCCTTCTTGGGTCTGACAAGGCTCCATTTCACAACTTTCTTGCATTTTGGCAAGGAAACCAGCAACCTAAGCAGGTTTGCCCCCTTCACAACTGGCATTAGGGGCATGGATTTTGTACTCTTCTATTTGTGCCCGAGTATCAACAGTATCTCAATACGTTTTGAAAAGGGCCCTGTGGTGGTTTTCTGCAGATTGCAGACCAGATAATTTGGTGCACTGGCAACCAATTCCAATTCCAACCCCACTACTACCCCCTCCCCCCTCCCCAAATCTCTTCTATGGCAGCTTTGGCTTGGAGATAGTCGGGCAAAACAGGTGACTGAACAACAGTTCCAGGGCACGAGAAATGCCCTTCCCCAAAGAAATCTCAACAGCTTGAAAATGAGCCTCAGGAACATGGCTTTCATCTGCCAGGCTATTTAAAAAGAGCCAACCTCATCCTTCCTTTAACTTCCCTTGTCATTGTCTGGCATAAACTGCAAATCTCTGGATGCAAATCTCCCTGTCAAAGGTACAGGCAGACACCTGATCAAAGGTCATCCTCTCTTTTGTGTTTCTATTTGATACTGACATTTCTATTTCATTTTTTAAGTGCCATGGTCAGTTAGAGGAACTGCATTTTGATGGAGAATTACTGGTGTGCTTCATGTCTTCTCCAGGAAGGTGTGTGTGTGTGTGTGTGTGTTTCTACTCATCTTCTCCCATCTCCCTGCCTCTTTTCATATCTTATGGGTGTTTTAAATTGAATGTGTTTTCATTTTTAATGGAGTAGTTAAATTAGCTTTGAAAGTGCAGCAGCTCAGTGCTTCTGAAGATTGCCTGCTTATTAACTGAAGCTCGGTTTACTATGAGACGATACCCTGGGAACTGATAAAATAATTATCATTATTTTATTTGTGGCTTCATTTCATTCTTAACTCTTAGGCAGCTTGCGGGATGTGAAAGGGCCAGAGGGACAGGATATTCAGCAAAACGGGATGGGGGCGTGCAGGGGGAAGGTTGGAATACAATGCGCTGCTAAGTGAGGGTTCTGTCGATGACAGGATTTTTTCTTGCACAATGGAAACTTCCTCTTGCACAAAGGGGAGAGATGAAACATTAAAGCAGGGATGGAGGGCTTTTGGCCCCTACTGGGGATGATGGGAGTTGTACCTCCAGGTATAGGACGGTATATAAATTCAATTAAAAATAACCATCACCACCACCACTCTGGAGAGCTCAAGGCCTCCCACTCTAACATTAAATTGTGGGGTGTTATGTTTGACAACCTGAGAGGACACTTTTCATTGTGAGTGATGAGTGATACATACTAGCCCTATTCAGGTTATTGCCAGAGGGAAGAAGCAACACAAGTACAATGAGGTTCTGTGTGTATAAAGTCACAGGACGTTTGTGTTGAAAATGAAGGGGAGCCTTCTCAGTGGTGATGGGGAGGGGCTTCCATGGATGCAAACAGCTCTCCTCTTGTCCTCTGTTGGGTAGTTGTGGGTGAGGTGCTAGGTCATTCTTGCTGTTGCCATATATCTATGTTTTTATCCCAACATTTAATGACATTAATAAGAAAAACAAATGTTTGGTGTGGCTAGGACGGGCCTACGGAATGCACCAGGTTTTCATCTGCCCCACACCTGAGGCATAGCTGTCAACTTTTCCCTTTTCTTGCGAGGAATCCTATTCGGAATAAGGGGATTTCCCTTAAAAAAGGGGGAAAGTTGACAGCTATGACCTGATGTCAGGGGTGGCGTGTCCTGAGAGCCAGTGTGGTGTAGTGGTTGAGAGCGGTAGTCTTGCAATCTGGGGAACCGGGTTCGCGTCTCCGCTCCTCCACATGCAGCTGCTGGGTGACCTTGGGCCAGTCACACTTCTTTGAAGTCTCTCAGCCCCACTCACCTCACAGAGTGTTTGTTGTGGGGGAGGAAGGGAAAGGAGAATGTTAGCCGCTTTGAGACTCCTTAAAGGGAGTGAGTGAAAGGCGGGATATCAAATCCAAACTCTTCTTCTTCTTCTTCTTCGCCACTTGAGACGAAATGGGAACCAGCTGCCACCACACCTCTCACGCCACACCTCTCTTTCCTTGTGAGATCTCACTGAAGTCTCGTGAGATCTCATGTGCTCCCTGAGTTCTCACAAGATTTTTGTGAGATCTGAGAGCTCACTGGAAACTGGTGTCGCTTCTCTGCTGGCAGCAGGGTGGACAGAAGAGGAAAGGTAGGTGTCACTTTGTGGGCTTCTGCCGCTGGAGGCGGGTTCCTCACCCTCATCCATGGGCCGGGATGGCCTGATGTTATACGGTACATCAGGTGCAAGGCAGCTGGTCGTGGCTTGGCCAAAATGACCTACTAGGTCAAACTGAGAGGCCTGGTAGGCATAAATGTTCTCATGGGCTAAAGGTTCCCCACCTCTGTATCAATTAAGTATACTGAGCTCCTGGTGGGCCCTAATACATGACCACTGGCCTGTGATCAGCTTCATGGATGATTTCAACAAAACTGACCTTCCAAGTGTGACAGAAAAGCATGTCTGGGAAGAAAAGGATAGAAGGATATTTGTTCCTGCAGCAGCAAAGAGCCTGAATGCTTTGTGATGTTTGCTCATCTATCGATCAGCTGGGATTAAATTGACATGTAGGCAGGTGGGATTGTAGCATTTGTTAAGATTTACATTAAAAAAAGATGGGAAGGAAATAACAGCTTGCAGTAGCCAACACATGGCAGTTCTAAAGCTACCCTGTGGGGAAAACACATCAGGAACATGCTTTCATCTGGTCAGGGAAAAACAGTAAGTGATAAATGCAGGTTTTCATTCATTCTGCGCCTGAGAGTGCCTCTGTTTTGAAGCTGGAGGAGAAGATGGAGAAACCTTTTCTCATCCAACTGCCAACACTTTGGGCTCTTTTGAACACAAGTTCCCAGAAGATGGCAGCAGAGCACTTTTCATTCAAACTCACCTTGATGCGTACGGAATAGGATATTACAAATGCTGGAATGTTTTCCTTCTAAAACCATCAAGGTTTCCCCAAACAACTTCCAACACATCTCTGATTTCTCACATTAAAAATATAATTATGTAAAGTCATTGTGGCATCTAAAAAAAACGCTGATACTTTTTCTTTTGCAAACTGCCCAGAGAAATGAAATATAAATACAACAAAGAAACAAACAAATGTGAAACAAACAAACCTCAAATCTCGAATTATGCCTATTACTGAGATTTAAGCAAAATAAACAAGCTTCCATCATTTTTAATTGATTTGCCTAATTTATTTCAAGTCCAGAAACATGAGCTTCTTGGCTGAGGATTCAAGATCCCTCACTGTAGAACTGACCTAGAGATGGGGGAGATATCCAATTCAGTTTGCATTTAATGGAACACGTTCCTAATTTGGACTTTTCAAAACAACGAGAGAACTGAAATGCAGCCATCCTTTGACATTCACACCTCTCTGAAATTTGCAAAGCAGTTGTCCAGGGTACCAGGGGTGGGGATCCATTAGAACTCCAGGTGTTGCTGAACAACAGCTCCCATCAGCCCCAACAAGCATGGCCAATGGATGACGGGAGTTGCAGTTCAGCAGCATCTGGAAGGCCAAAGGATCCTCACGTGATGTAGTTAATAGCGTAGATAACACTGAACTAGATGGACCAATGGTCCATCTCAGTATAAGGCAACTTCCTATGTTTCTATGGAAGAGACAGTGTGTTTTACAGTTGCCTTCTATGGCTCTCTATCTTCTTTCAAGCATGGGTGTCATTCTGAGAGAGGAAGGGGCACCCCCCCTCCCCTGCATTTCAGACCACAGTTATTTCATCAGGAGCACATCTATCACTAGTTAGATCATTGGTTCTACAGGCAGAGGGCCACTTTTCATATAACTTTTTTTTAGGTGTACACCTGAAATGTTTTATGCACACAGCTAGAAATCTTAACATATAAATGTGAAAAACTCATGAGAACATACGAATTCTGCAGGGATGCTGAGCTTGTCAGGCATCCCAAACTGACCAAGCTCCATGTTCAGGTTTGCTGCTGTGTAACGTGTGAAATGGGCCTGAGCAGCTATGGATATTGATAGGTAACTGGTTGGCCCAGGTGAACGCGCATTCCTTTGCTTCATTCCTTTGCTTTTCCGTGCCTGTCTTCCTGTGGTGATAACATTGTTGTAGTTACAGTAAGGTGTAAGAAGAAGAAAAATGATCACAACAAACAAATGCTCTTAAAATATGCTTTCCCACAACACATATTTAAATATATAGTCAAGCAGCAAGGCTTTGGACCTTGCAAAATGTTACATCTTCCCCTAGCCTCCCAAGGTTTAGACCATATTTTCTGCGTCAGTCACCCCAATCCTATTTTAAGGCTGGTCACCTCTAAGACTAGAGGTGATCTTGCCAATGTTTGTCATACTCAGAAGAGATCCACTGATGTTAATGAACTTCAGTGACTTACGCATTCATTTCAATAGGTGTACTCTAAATATGACTTAAGTTGGCTATCGCCTTATATGTCTCTGGCCTGTCTTACACCTTACATACTGTTAGTAGCAAACAATGCTATTGGGGAGGGGGTGGGAAACTATAATGGCGGTGGTAAAAATCTATTGTCTTACTGTTCCAGCAAGGATAGTCTCAAGGGGGAGCAATTTAAAGATAAAATCCAATCCAGGGAATTCCCATAAAAGTTATTTAATTTGGCTGGCAATGTTATGAAAGATTGGCAGGCCGGTATGTTATGTGCTGGTGGATAAAATATTGCTCCATTGTATTCCTTTCAAACCAAATCAGCAGGAGAAACTTACCTTCAGTCTCTTGTCAGCAATTCATTGACTGGCTTCTATTACCATTTTGATTCTGCTTTTCATTGCGTTTTTGACACTCCCTAAATATTTATTAGCTTTCACACTGATTATAGGAGTCAGTCAATTTTACCTGTTACTTACTGGGCCAGTTCAAAAACCATTAGCATAGGAGGCATGAGCAAAATGCAATAAAGATTCTCATGGTAGATTGCAAAGACAGCTTAACCCTAACACTTAAAGATGCAGCTGATTAAAAAGAGCACCAAATGGGTAATTCTGCACTTTAAATAAATAGGGGTGTGTGTGTGTTTAAGCGTAGGCTCCTGCAGGAGCTGGAAGCATGTGATGGGGACTGCATCTTGTGTGGAAGCAAAGGTGGGTTATTGGTTTGTTTTCATAGAATCATAGAGTTGGAAGAGACCACAAGGGCCATCGAGTCCAACCCCCTGCCAAGCAGGAAACACCATCAGAGCACTCCTGACATATGGTTGTCAAGCCTCTGCTTAAAGACCTCCAAAGAAGGAGACTCCACCACACTCCTTGGCAGCAAATTCCACTGTCGAACAGCTCTTACTGTCAGGAAGTTCTTCCTAATGTTTAGGTGGAATCTTCTTTCTTGTAGTTTGGATCCATTGCTCCGTGTCCGCTTCTCTGGAGCAGCAGAAAACAACCTTTCTCCCTCCTCTATATGACATCCTTTTATATATTTGAACATGGCTATCATATCACCCCTTAACCTCCTCTTCTCCAGGCTAAACATGCCCAGCTCCCTCAGCCGTTCCTCATAAGGCATCGTTTCCAGGCCTTTGACCATTTTGGTTGCCCTCCTCTGGACACGTTCCAGTTTGTCAGTGTCCTTCTTGAATTGTGGTGCCCAGAACTGGACACAGTACTCCAGGTGAGGTCTGACCAGAGCAGAATACAGTGGCACTACTACTTCCCTTGATCTAGATGCTATGCTCCTATTGATGCAGCCCAGAATTGCATTGGCTTTTTTAGCTGCCGCGTCACACTGTTGGCTCATGTCAAAGTTTGCCATTTTTCTTGTATTTTGTGTACTCATTTTGGGTATTTTTGGGTGAACCACCCTGTGAGCTCCAGATAAAGGGTGGTATACAAATTTACAGAAGAAGAAGAAGAAGAAATGCTTACACGCTCCATGCAGAGGCACTGGAAGACAGGACAATGAAGCTGGGAGCAGACCCAGCAGACCCTTTCTATACATAGGAGGTGTCATAATAGAAAGGCCCTTGATTTCACAACCTGTGGAAAATGAAGAATGGCATGATACAATCTCTGTGTGTGCTTGCTGGGAACCATCAACTCTCCTTTCTCTGCTGGCCACATATCCAGGGCACAGGTTCTGATGACCTGCCTCTATTGTATGTACCAGCAGAGGCACTATTGTGTTGCACAGGTAGTCTGCGTGACTTGTGAAGAGCTGAGTGGACTTACCCATTCTGGTGCACATCTAGGGCTAGTCCACATGCCACACATTTCTTATGGGGGTCATTCCACGCCAAATCACCTGGTTTAATACTCGACCATGCTCTCACGTCTCAGATTTTCTGCAACAACAACAAAATATTTATGTGTAGATACTTATGAGATAACCTCAAATTAAATTTTAAAGATTTTTTTGGTCCAAAATTGGGTGTAGGAGAATTTTTTTTAAAATTTCAATTTTTGCACAATTTAGGCTAATGCAATTTCTGTGTCTGTTTAGAGAAAAACCCCTGTTCTGCTTATTCTTCAACCAATTGGGCTTATTTTGGTATCAAAATAAAGCTAATTTTGGTCTCTTTCAAAATAAGGTATAAAAATGGTATGAAGTGCCACAGAAAAGGATCACCAACCATTCAAAGTGAATTTTAGTCATTTTCTACCTTGGTATGTTCGATAGGCCATAGCCGCAAACCACAACTAACACATATATCATACTTTTTTTGTAGAATGGGCAAACCATGTACTTGTTATGTTTTAAAAACAAGAAGGGTGTCTTTTGTAGTTATAAAATATTTTTTAAAAATTAAGTTTTGTTAATTATTTAATAAAAACAAAAGAAATTTTGCAAAATTCTAGTGCAAATTTCTTGCTATATGGCCTCTGTGAGTAGAGAAAAATCAAAGTACAGCATTAGAAAGTAAAAATAAAATACTGGCATTTCAAGCCATTTGAACATAAAAATGAGTGCTCTTCCCATATGTGAAACTGTACACACCATCTCCTGCATGGAACAAATATCCACATAGGAAATTCACTTGAGGACATTAGCTACCATCTCCCTCTATTTGATCTGACTGGCCAGCAAAACTGCCCTGTCGCTTATGCACTAACACATGTCTGCTTCTCACATGAAAATTCTGTTGATGATACCAAGCCTTACATATGAGTTTGTTGGATATTCTCTGGGTGTGTGAGAATCATTTGTTCCAGAAACAAAGAAGTTTCAAGAAGCAGGAGAAGGCTGAGATTGTTTTGTCTACCCAAGGACATTTTCTGTGGGAACTGTTCTTTGGACATGTGCAGTATGACAGGAAGCGCTGATAACAATATTTCTGTTTAACTTGTTGTGAGTCTCTTGCTTGCGCCATGCAGTGAGAGAAGTAGAGAGAGAGTCATGGACTCTTGTTGGACTCTATGCGTGCCTTGACCATAGCAGTGGTGAATGTCTGTACATATTTGCCACCAATATGCTTTTATGCCTGTCAAGTAAACCTCTACACTTGACTGAATCTTTACAGCATCCATGAGTGTTTCTTGCCTTACACTTGCCTTCTTGTACCTTCAACCCCGAGGAAGCTTCCAAGGAAGGAGCTGTGCTGAGATGTAACTCTGCTGAGTATGGATACTAGGACACACGTGCAGCAAATGTGATGTAGGACCCAATCCTTTTAAATCACCCATCAGAGGTTGATGGATTGATCCAACAGAGTTTAACATGTTATCAGTAATGTACAGATGGACACATGCTACAAGTGCCTGGAAGCCAATCCCAACTGCTGAGAGAAATGATACAAGCCTAGACACACGTGTTGCAAAGCACATGTGCCTCCGTGCATGACTCACATAATTGTGGCATTTGCCACAGTTCCCAGTGGTGGTGGTGAGATGGCATTTTGCCACTGAGTCACATGGAGCAAACAGCCCAGCAAAGCCATTCAAAAAACCAATGAGACTGATTAAACACGTCTTAGCCGACTGGGTTATCTATAAAATTTTCATTAAAATCTCAAGTGTTAAATTTATTTCCTTGCTTTGTCACAGTTTTCTTTAGTCGGTAGCGATAATTACGGCATTAGAGATTAAATGAACCTCATATGCTACATCTTTGGGGCCTCCTAGGAGACTCGGAAAAGTGATTTAGGGAAAGTGCAGTTGCTGTTGCTCCTAATCGAGTTACAGTAATTGTCACCTATAATTTTGGCTTGACTGTTGTGTGTTTAATCAGAAGCTTTACCAAGGGATCCTTTGCCACAGAGCTCCCCCTTATCACCACACGCACACACACGCACATTCCTTTTTTCAAGAACGAGCCCTGTTCAAAAGAAGCAAATCCTCACTTGCTGTCCTGCCGATAAGCTGGCTTTCCCTCCAATTTAAAGACAGGGAAGTAAGATGTGGACAGTCCAAAGGCTAAACTCACTTAGTGGTTTCCAGCAGATCATAATCTAGAGCGACAGCGGAGGGTTTTCAGTGCCCAAATATCATCTCAGAATTGACAGGCAAAATGCAGAAGGGCAGCACAGGTTGTTTAAAGAGCCATACAATGAGCAGAACTTTGTGCCCTGCTGGGGTGCTTGTCACGAGACAATCATATTCTGATAACCACTTTTCTGTGTATGAGAACCACCCGCTTTAATTGCAGAAATGGAGATTTTGTCCTGCTCGGACCAAGAAGCTGATTTGGCTGTGAGGGCTTTTATAAGGCTTGGTCTGTGAGGTCAGCTGACTGCATTCATGCCAGAAGAATGGTAGCCTAGAGGGTATACTTGTTCCAGAGATCCTGAACTGCCTGGCTTGTGGGGATCCAAGCGCTGGTGGTGTCAGCAGTATGGTTAATGTGCTGCTGTTCATATGTTGCTGAAGCTCCCATCATCCCTGACCAGTGGCCATGCTGGCTGGCGCTGATGTGAGTTGGAGTCCCACAACATCTGAAAGGCCACAGGTTAGGCACCTCTGTGCTAAGGACCAGGCTGGGAGGCTCTGCTCCTTGGTGCCTTATGCAACCCTATAACTGAGCGTGGTGGGGATAGTGAGTCTTGAAGTTGGCATTCGGTTCTATCCCCCATTATCAACTTTTACCGCTCCTCGCTTTCTTCATCTGAAACACAAAGAGCATCTTCAGTACAGAACTTGTGCTACAACTGTACGAATCAAAGCAAGTGCCAATTAGAGCAGGATTGGAGCTGCTTGTAGGAGGCCAAGCGATCCTAGGTTTTCAGGAGTAAAGAGAATTGAAAATCCATGTTGGGGGACCCTTGCATGTCTCTCTTCCCACTTCAGCTCTAACTGGAATCTGTGTATTTGCACCAGGTTTGAAGCTTCAATCATATGCAAAATAACCGAAAAGAAACAATAACCTGCCCTTGAATAATTCATGCTATTTGTGAGACACTTTAAAAGCTTCCCTCTTAAATCGCAGATTAGCATTTTTGTTGCTTTCCTAATCAAAGGGTGTTTTTTTAAACAATTCCCAGTGCTTCTAAGATGTATTTCCACTATTTTGACTCTGGATTCGGTTTTTTGTCTCTTTTTTCTCCCCCTTTGTGGTTTAATTTGGCCTTTGGAAAAAGCCTCATTGCTTGTTCTGAAGCCCACAAAGTTCAAGAGCTTTCTGCTAAATGGTGAGTGCTTAAAACACACACACACAAAAACACCCACCAAGGAAGATATTCCCCAATTTGTAAGGAGTCCTTTTAAACTATGTGATTGAGTTTCCGTTATAGGATTTAGGCTGCAATCCAAGACACAGTTATTTCGGAGTACGTTTCAATGAACTCAGCAGGGCCTACTTCTAAGTAGAACATAAGAAGTGGTTACTGGATCAGGCCAGTGGCCCATCTAGGACAGCATCCGCTTCTCACTGATGCCTATGAGAAGCACACTATCAGGATCTGAGCAGAAGAGAGCCTCCCTGCCTCCTGTGTGTTCCAGCAACTGCTATCCAGAAGCATTGCTGCCTCCAACTGTGGCAGCAGAGAACAGCCATCCTGGCTAGTAGCCATAGATAGCCTTAACCTTCGTGAATAAGTCTGATCCTCTTTCAAACCCATCCAAAGGCAGATCTACACTCATGGTTTATAACGTTAAAAATGTGTTGTTAAAATGTGACACTAGAGGGCACTGCAGAGCAGCAAGCCACTGGCCAAGGGAAACCACAGTAAATGTTATAGAACATTATATCTAAGTAAAAGGTAAAGGTAAAGGACCCCTGGGCGGTTAAGTCCAGTCAAAGGCGACTCATCTCGCTTCAGGCTGAGGGAGCCTGCTTTTGTCCACAGAGAGCTTTCCAGGTCATGTGGCCAGCATGACTAAACCATTTCTGGCACAATGGAACACCATGATGGAAACCAGAGTGCACGGAAATGCCGTTTGCCTTCCCGTCACAATGGTACCTATTTATCTACTTGCCCTGACGTGCTTTCGAACTGCTAGGTTGGCAGGAGCTGGGACAGAGCAACGGGAGCTCACCCCGTTACAAGGATTTGAACTGCTGTCCTTCTGATTGGCAAGCCCAAGAGGCTCAGTGGTTTAGACCACAGCGCCACCCGCTAATAATGTTATCTAAGAACTAATAACGTTTAAAAGATCAATGTGGATCCAGCCCAAATTGGTGGGCATCAATGCCCCTTCTGGGAGTGAATGCCATAGTTTAACTATGCACTGTTTGAAGAAGTGCTTTGTCCTGAATCTTCATTGTTCAGCTTCATTGGACGGCCCTACGATTTAGTGTTATGAGATGCAGGTGGAGGGTACTTTTCTTAATCCATTATCTTCATACCATGTGTGGGTTTATATACATCTAGCGCTTATTTAGGTGTTAGTTGCTTCCAGAAAAAAGCTCTGTTTGCGACCTTGCTAACCCAGAAAAGTCAAGTGACCAAATTTGGGGTATTTATACCAGCACACAGTTATTTCCTGCCATTTTCATGGTAGAATCATGGGAGAATAGAAGCACCATTGTCCAATGATGTTCGTTGTTGACATTTGCTATTGTGTCACACCATGCCCGCCACTGTGAATGAAATTTAGCCTGATGTGCTGGTATCATCAGTCAAAAAGCCACATGATGCAATAGGTACTGCAGCGTGAAAGGATGTTAGACAACAGGACAGAAGCCCTAGCGTTATCGTCAGGGAAATGAATGCAATATTCCCCATGTTTGAATGCACCCTCAGGCACTGAAAAAGTGTACTTTCAGTGACTATATTGCTGCTCATCATATCTTATAGCTAAGACTATACAAAATGTCAGAAGAATGTTTCCCCCCCAGTCCAATAGTTTCTTTAGGCCAAAACATCAGACACAGCCAAAGAGCTTTCTAGCTCAGGGCATGATCCGAACA